GATACTATCTCATAATTATGAGATACTATCTCATAATAATGAGATACTATCTCATAATTATGAGATAGTATCTCATAATTATGACTTAGCTATCTAGCTAAGTCATAATTATGAGATACAAGTTTTATTTATTTTTTATCAGGGTGGCAGAAATGGGCTTCCATACAAACCAGCTTATTATATTTCTAAGCTTGATTTTCAGATAACGAAGCACACAAGTGTTTAAAAACCCGCCAGTTTATAAGGCTTATATTGTATATTTATTTTACAATAAAAATCATAATGTAGCCTATATTTACTGTGAGTAGCGTGTTTCGTGGTTGGTTTTCTTTCTCAAAAGTTACAATTACAAGAATAATACATTTCAATACATTCCATATTTTAATATATTATCTTGCACTTAGTGTATTGTCTCGTAATTTTTACAATGCGTCTTTCAGTATATAATATAATTTTGGATATTTTATAGAATATATATAACTATATGTTAAACAGCATAAAATATATTTGGTAAATATATGAAAATGCAGTATTTTACCATATATTGCAATATATTACTTACATATGTATAATATATTGCAAAGCAAGAGATATATTGGCATCTAATTTCATGGTATATGAATACACATGAAATATATTGTCATATAATGTATTGAGGGATGTATTTTTGTTTCGTAAGGAAAGGAACATTGCAGCCTTTACTTCTTTAGTTTGTTTAATATCTGTTGCAGAAATCACTTTTGTGTGACAAAGAATGACACAAAGCACTAAAAGTGTTTGTTAGAGAAACATTTTATATCTCAGTTACAAGACAACTCTGGAACATCACGTTTCTACAGATGTTACATGTTCAAAAACAAACAGCTGAAGCAGTTTTCACACAAACTCACATTGCACCATTTCTGTTTTTATAAGTACTACATTACCCATGATCCTCAGCTGCAGCAGACGACCTGGTGGGAGTCTGATTAGCTAAATGTGAACTGAATTAATGAGAAACGGATCCAACTAAAGACAGTTAATGACAGCTGAAATGCATTCTGGGAGCTGTAGTTGACCTGTCTGTCAGCTCACAGTCTGCTGAGCGAACAGGTGAGCTCCTGGCAGACTACACCTGCATCAGGACATCCGGGTTCCAACAGGAAGTCCACGGGACACAGCAGGTCCTGTGACAGTCTCAGACAGTCCTGACTCAGGTCATTCTGCAACACGTTGGTGACATCATTTGTGAGAGACAGAAGTAAACCCAAACAGGCTGGATTCTGATCTGTGGACTCAGGCTTAACAAGGAGACCCCCAACGAACTGATCTGTCTTCATCAGTGATGGTGATGATGATGGTGGGCGGAGCCAGTTGGCTCCAGGTCTTGAACTTCTTCGCTGGATCTCAGCATCATCGAAGCTCTCTGCTCGTCCATCCTCCTGGACTGGACTCTCTGGATCAGACTGAAGAAATCCTCCTGCCCTTCGGGAACCAGACCCGTGACATCATCCAGGTGTGGAAGGGAGGATCTCTGGTCCTCCATCCTGTCCGACTTCAGGCACAGAGGGACAGGTGAACTAGTTAAACCAGGTAAACTGGTAAACACATCAGTTCTGTTTAATGTTTCTGGTGATACACTGTTTCTAACTCAGATCAAGAACTACTTCCTGTCTGGAAATGAATACACCTGTCACTGAACCAGTACTTGGTGCAGGTAAGCACCAGGGGTCTCATTTATAAAGGATGGCGTGGAAACCATACTAAAAGTGAACGTACGGCCAAAAGGCG